CGCCGTCGCTTCTGGTTCCTGTTCTCCGGCGAGGCGAAGGTCGCCGTCGCTTTTAGTTCCTGTTCCCCGGCGAGGCAAGCCTTTGGACAACTTTGGGACGTCTGGGATCCGTCCCTTGAGGGAGGGGTACTGTCATGATTCGGTTTGGGACCAACAGGTGGCACTGTAGGGCTCTCCCTGCAGCTGCACACCTGTTGGTAATTAGTGGCTTTAAAAGGACTCCCAGCCCGAGCAATCATTGTCGGGTCATTGTTGCTTTGTGCTACTGTCATGTTTGTTTGCTGTCATGTTTGTTTCAGTCATGTTTTTGTTAGTGTTATGTTTTATCTTCAGTCATGTGTTTTGTTTGATACTTTGGACTTTGTTTGTTTTGGATTTCGTTTTCTCTGAGTTTTAATACAATCTTTCAAGTACACCCTGCTCCTCCCTCTTGCCTGTTTTTTGGGGTCCACCACCACCTCGCAACGTGACAATCCCAGGGGCCACTGAAAACATTCTCGCGGGCCGGCACTTTGACATATGTGCTCTAAATTATCCCTAGGTGTGAGTGTGAGCGCGGCTGGTTGTTCGTCTGTGTTTGCCTTGCGATTGGCTCGCAACCGGTTCTATTTACTGACATGAAGGGTCAGTAAATAGGAAAGGTTCTGGAATCTGTGGTTAACCACAGCCCAAATTATATTGCGCCTTTGAGCCTCCTCGACCAAGCAGACCCAACCTCCCACAACCCATGATAGCTTGATATAAGAAAACATAGCCAGACTTGAATACGGAGAAAAAAAAAAGTTGAAATTCCCACAGCACACTTCGTTGTTGCCCAGAAATATAATGTATATGTAACTTCAAGATGTGGAAAAGCTCATTGTGGTTTGACAATTAACGCAAGATTTTTTTTTCCTGTCTTTAGGTTTGGATGTTGGCGACACATTTTCCAGTTCTCTGAAGTCATCTCTGCACCACTGCAGCAACTGAAATCAGATCTTAAGACGTTCAGGCATGCACTATTACACACTCATTACAAGAAAGCAACAGGTGCAGTAACTGTGACTAACCGATCAGATATTTTCAAGCAATGCTATCACTGAGGGTTCACAGTTTATACCCTTAGAAGTTCAAACAGGCAGCTGATTATTTCCACTAATCACAAAAGCAGACAACTATTCACTTGTTGCAATTAGTTTGTCCACATAGAGAGAACGTAGAACCAGACAGGATGGCCGAGCGCTACCAAAACAACATATACCACCAAAGTGACGGCGACAGCTACGGGACTTACGCAGAAGGTGATGGAGGTGGTCACGATGGATACGGTTACCAGGCCGAATACCCTCCCCATGAAGAGGACGCTGCCAGTGACGTAACCGAAGGTCATGACGAAGAAGAGCAAATGTATGAAGGAGAATACCAAGGTATACCACATCCTGATGAGTTGAAGGCCGCACAGAGAGCTGCAAGGTGAGACACATCGATGATGCACTCCCAGGGCAAAAACATTTGGACCAAATATCTTTTGATGCCAACATCGTGTTACATTATACCAATATAAAATATGACTGTCAAAGTTAGTAAAGGCTACATCATAACACTTCTGAAATCATTGGTAAGGACTTACATTCACGATACATTCACTGCACACTGATTGTTGGCGTTGATAAACTCTAATTCCCCAAATCAAACTGCGCCAGAACTTCTCTGAATAGATCAATGCAATGGTTTCCACGAAGCATTGAAGTCCACCTGCCAATCTCTTTAGAGTTCAACATAAACATGGTGAAGAAGCATTGAACTGTTATACTGCACGTAAATTGAAAAAGCTGCCAATCTCAGCGCAAAAAGCACATTGTGTATGAAATGCGCTATATAAATAAAGTTGTCTTGCCTTACCTTGTCCTGTAACAGTACTGTGTTCGATTGTGATGTTGGACAGGCTATTTCTCCTTGTTTCTAATATTTTGGCATTGCGTTTATGAATCAGCAGTGGGGTTGGGGGAAATTGGCATTTGATTTTAATTAGATTCACAAATAAAATCACTTTTGAAATTAATTAACTAATGCAACATATTTCATGTATTCATGTATTCGGATTAAAAAGGTTCTGAATAAAAATTTAAAAAAAATGTAAATCTTAGCAGGGAAATATTAGAAACGCTTCCCAACAAAACCACTGCAAAATTAATGATATACAATAGGTAATAAAAACATTGCTAATATCTTAACTTTGAGTCAGTGTTTGTTGGACTTCACAAACTGCCCGCGGCTCAATTCTTTTTCTCCTCCTGAAGTACAAAATGTGTCCTGTAAATTGATTTATGGAACTTTAAGAATACAGTGTTGCAAAAAAAAAAAAAAAAAAAAAATCCGTATTCACGGCCCACTTTGTCCACATGTTATGTTAACGCCTCATTCCAAAGGGAATAAATTAACTTTTACCTCAAAATTATACTCAACACGTTATAATGCCAACATCGTAAGCTTGTGGCATCATTTTGAAAAAGACATGAGGCTAATTGCTGACAAATACTGTATGCAACTATTGTATGCATTTGCTAAATATGGTACTTTTATTTAAAAGTACCATAATTGAGCAAAGCTGAGAATAATTCCAGAGAGTACGGTACATTTAAAAATCTGCAAAAATCTCCCAAAACACTTTTTGAGATGTTGTTTGTAGCAATAAGGGGAATTAATCGAATCCATTTTGAAGTAAGGCTGTCTTATATAGAGCACAATGTTGAAAAAGTGAAGCACTATAATTACATTCCGATTCAACTAAGGGAGTATTAATTACAATAATAAAATCTAGATAGTCAGAAGGACAACATTTTGATATTATTTATAAATGATATCCGGGACTACAAAGTAGAACAAGAGCTAATTTTGAGTTTTGTTTGGAGTTTATATGGTCATTCTGTCCAATTGACGTCATCCCATTAAAAAAAAAAAAAAAAAAAAAAAAAATCCTTTTCATATTAATGTGAGCCCAATAGGGAGTGACTCAACCTCAAGACTTGTTTTCTTTCCCGTGCAATCTCAGGGCGAAATCTCGAGCTGGCGCTGCACTCTCGGAACTTCAGGAGTTATCCGAACAGTATGAGGATATCATGGAAGATTGTGGCCATGGGAAGTTCCAATGGACGCTCTTCATGGTGCTGGGCCTCGCTCTCATGGCTGATGGGGTCGAATGTTTTGTGGTTGCCTTTGTTTTGCCATCTGCCGAAAAGGACCTGTGCCTGTCCAATGCAGAGAAAGGGATGCTGGGTAAGGCTGACTGGCTGACTGATTTGATACTGGCTTCCTGGTTATGTATGCTCTTTGAGTTTGTCTACATCCACGATTCAATATGTTGCTCCATTCCAGGTGTGTGTTATCCTGTATATTGTCACATAGTGCTCGGCGAAAGTACTTGAATTTATAGAAATTTTGCTCATCACCAAAAGAACTTAAATTGCATCTGAGATTCTGTCGGGTGAAAATGCTGAGTGGCTTGTAACTCTGGGATGTCAGTAATTACAGTGCCCGGTGTTGAGAATAGTTCAACTGTTTATCTTCCATTACAATATCCATTCATGTTCCACATCACTCCTGTTCAGCGTCACGGGTGATGGAACTGACTTTAGGCGAAAGGCGGACTGCTTGTCGCCAGTCAGAGCAAGGCACATATTGACACGAGCAACCATTCGCACTTACTTTCACTCCTTCACTGAGTGAGAACTAAAACCACACTATCTGCATTGAAACTGAACCAAGTCAGGTGACGTCCGGGAACCCATGCAGCCTCAATTTTCATACTCTCAGTGACTCCATTACCATCTCAAAATGTCTTCACAACAGAATAGTCGTGTACAAAGTATGAGTACTTGTAAACGACCATTCAAGTTTTATTATTCGACATTTATTAAAATGTGTTAAATCACGTTGGGGACACACCCATATGGATGAGTGTCACTAATAGAGCATTGTTTATGCAGTAAATCCTCAAACTACCTCTCAAGTCAGGTTAGTCGGTGAGCACTGAGGATGCAGAAATGAATCAGCTTGCTGGGATTGCGTGCGGCGTCTTCGTTGCGCTGCATATTCAGGACTCACTCGAGTTGCTTATTTGTATTCTATAGGTTAATCGGGGCTGTGTTACAAACGGCATCGCACACTGCTGATGTTCGTAGAACTGTGAGAACAAATATTTAATGAGATAAAGGCTAAGCAACCAAACTTCACCGGGACACAAGTGACAAATAACTATAAACAGTAGCAGAAACAAAACACAAACAGCAGTCAAATGCAGACTTGAGTGTTTGTAAATGAAGAAGCAGGGCAGTGGATGTGAAAGGGAAATGAAAATGTGACTCGAACAAATATGGGCGGAGTAAATACGGTGCTGCAGTGCAGCCACCAAAAGCCATTTCTGTTTTAGATTAGATGTTCTAAAGTGGATTCTGGACACCAACGCTATTAATCATATGAAATGTTCTGATGTGTTGTCATATAGTCACGTAATATATATGTAGCACAAATAGGGATCATAATATGAATTTTCACAGCCAGAGCTCCCCCACCCCCTGTTGTATGACCATCTGCACACTGACGTTGTGTCGCAGTTAGTCGTGTTGCAACAGATACAGGACATCAAGTGCATTATTTGCACCACACAACTATTTGAGTCATTTGAGGAAATGCTGTAATTCCATCCACCACAGTCAAGCAACCTTGTCTCAACCTTGAGATGAATGAATGAATGTTTTTTTTAACACATACACAACACAATGCATCATTTCTGGAATTTAATTTACAGTTTCAGTCATACTCAAATAAGAGAACAAAACAAACACCAGCAACAACAAAAACAAACACAAACAAGTGAACAAGACAAGAAAACAAAATCAATGAGTCCACTATGTGCAGGAAATCAGACTATTGATCCATATGTAGATCCCTCAGGATGTAGCATGAAGCACGACACGAAGCCCATAAAAATACAGCGTCTATTCCTTGGCAACCCGTGAGAGCTGCAAGGACAGGCCTTCTCAGTCGCAGGTTTGGGAAGTGTAAGGGGGCTGGTAGGAATGCTCACGACCAAGCGTATTTTTAAATAATTGTTTTGGAAACAGGCCGTCCACAATTTCACACAGCCTTGTAGGTCTTTTCGCTTGACTGTCAACGGCGCCAATTTGCAATCAGTCAATTTTCCAGGCTGGCCCAACTACTCCTCGTTCTTTTCCATTTGGTGAAGCAACACCAACACCGCATTTTGACTTTTCAATTGAGTTTGGTCAACGCATGAGTCTGACTGTTGGTCACCCGTCTCACACCCTCCATTCAGGCCGTCAGCTTATTCCTTTCTAATGAAGCTGCTCTCGCCAGCTGAATTTCGCAATAGATCAGGAAACGTCCAACACCAAACAGCAGGATACCTTTTCTCAGAAGGCCAATCACGAAGATGTCTTCCACATCCTCTACGGACAGTATTGTCAGGCAAACCAAATTCCACTTCTGCTAAGGATCTAAAGTATACCCAGCAGCAAACACCTCAGAGGGGCCAGAAGGCTCCCTACTGCTTGCCCTTTCCATTGAAAAAATTTCATCCATACTGCTAGGAGTCCAGCAGACTAATTCCATGGTTTGTTTTTTGGAAGAAAAAAATATGGTTGGATGCTACATCACGACAGAAGACAGCATATTTTGACAGAGTTAGCAAGTAGAGGAGTGGGTGGGGATGGGGTGCAGAAGCAGAGCCAAACAGGAAAAAAAAAGAAAGATACTGCCGTGTGCCCTGCGTCACGTTAATACATCAACAATTATTTTAAGAATACATCGTCTAATAATAATCCGTCCATTATGACTTCTCCAAATCTGGAATGGTTACTATTTGGGAATTTAATAAGGATTTAGACCGGGTTGGTTTAGAAAAAAATAAAGGCAATGAGAACTCAGGCGTGTCTTTCTCAGCATCGGCTTATCGGAATACCCTTCTCCCTGCGATTCCGCATCGGCGCAGACGAGGAGGTTCACGGGGGGTTCGGACCCCTTGGAGGAGAGTCGATTCGGATTGTACCCGATCCAGTCCCAGCCTCTGACAATACGTAATCTCAGAGCCATCCACTAAAAAGGGTGAATGCCGTACCCCAATTCAATTCAAATAAACAAGTTTCCACTTGGTTGTCTTGTTGCATTTGCCATGAGTATGTGATGCAATAGTTAACACGGTGAATGTAGCTTACAAAAATGCATCTAATGATAGCAAAGTCATTGACATTTTATTTACAAAACACAAAGTCAAACCAGATGTTCTCATAGGGCACTTTCCATATTGATTAGGACTAGAAGGATGCTCCTCACAAAAACAAGTAAACCCCACACGAGTAAACACTAGATGACAGAGGTAAGGAAAAACTGACTCCTACTCAGGTCTATAAGACTCCTGTTTCTCTTCTGCAGGTCTGATTGTCTTCCTGAGTATGATGGTGGGAGCATTCATATGGGGTGGTCTCGCAGACAAAGTTGGCCGCCGATGCTGTTTGGTTGTCGCCTTAGCTATAGACTGTGTCTTCGTCTTCTTGTCCTCCTTCGCCCAGAGCTATGGCTTCTTCCTCTTCTTCAGGCTGCTCTCAGGCATCGGGTAACTCGCACTTAACCACACGCATACATCACAACATTTGTCTTTGTGAATATTTGTGTTGTTGTCTTCGCACATTTTTTGTGTTTTGAAAATACCTTTATTCTTCGATATACTGTACACCCCTATTTTCCACGCTTGTCATGCATGATTATGTTTGACCATTACATAGAGGTAAAAAATATTGCCTGCTTGAACTAGGAAAGTTGTCTGTGGTAGCTGCAGGTGACAGTTTCAACGAAGTAGTTTTTAAAGTTAATTAATAGCATTTAATCAAGATTCACTTAGTCATCGTCTGGTGTATGACATTAAACATTCAATTATTTATTTCTTGTGCAGTGACTCACATTTACAACACGGTGTATGCAGCCTGGTGTTTCATTGCAGGGACCAAGCGCAATGTTTAAGCTCAGAATAACTCCAGTCCGCTGGGATGCACACACACTCAGAAATCAGGTCACGGCAGAGCATAAATGATCCCATCCACAAACAGCTTGCATCGCATCGATAAATGTCTTGTAGGTGTAGCTTGCCTGCCATGTCCTGCCTCATTGTATGTGTGTAATAACCATGGACCTTCATGTGGCTGTGCAAACGTCTCGTTTTGTCATACATTTAGCATGGTGGATGGATATGACTCATGGTTTCTTTATAAGATGTACACTAGTTCCTGTGTGGTGGTATGCGTTGCAGGCTGGCTTTGTCTTACTTTTGACTTACTTTGGAGCTATATACTACTACTTTTACTTTCATCCATCCAATTTTTATACTGCTTATCTTCACTACCAGCTGACTCTGGGCAAGAGGCAGAGTGTACACTGGACTGGTCACCAGTAGATCAGAAGGTGTATTCACTTGCAGACAATCATTCACCCTCACATTGACACCTATGTGAAATTTAGTCTAACGCATAAGTGTTAAAGTCAAGGCCCGGGGGCCAGATCCGGCCCGCCACATCATTTTATGTGGCCCGCAAAAGCAAATCATGTGTCAACTTCCATGATCCTTGCTAAAGTCTGTACCGAAATGTCAAATTGTGATTGTGTGATAAATAACGGTGACATTTTGCAATTATTTTGTTACCCTGTTTCCACTCACTTGAACAATAATGGAACAAACAACAAACGAATAGCTGTTTTTAAGACGCGTCATAAGGAAGCCGTGACAGGTTCGACAAAGGTTGAAGTGACAACCGAAACTGTCAGCTCGGTTAGTTTTTCTCTTCACCAAAAGAGACCATTGTTTGGAAAAAAGAAACTTTAAATCTATTTGATCGAACAGATAGTTGACTTGAGTCAACAGACAAAACTAGTAATCCATCAATTTGTTTGTGTACAAGTAATAATAATACGATGAGATGATTCCGTAAACATTTATTCGGTTTCACTGTCATTACAGCCCCCCGAGGGAAGACGTGACTCCAAAGTGGCTCGCGACAAAAATGAGTTTGACACCCTTGGTCTAACGCAGGGGTCGGCAACCCAAAATGCTGAGAGACCTATTGGAGCAAAAAAATGAAAAACAAAAGTGTCTGGAGCCGCAAAAAATTAAAAGCCTCAGAAAGAAGGCAACACAGACTACTATCAAATGACTAAGTTGACTGCAAATGCACAATGAGCCTTCCCAATGAAATGTTTTTTTTTTTCCTGCAGTGCATCCTTTACAGCAGGGGGGCCAACCATTTTATGACCAAAGCTCTATTTTTCGATCAACCAGCCTCCCGCGACCAACCCGTGACCGCACACGCACGCATACGCACGCACTTCCACACACATCCCATTATGAGCAACAGCCATAACGGCGGCTAAGATGACCGAGGCACGGCACACACTTTTGCAGAGTCTTACCTTTTGTAGCTGACGTGTACCGTTTTAAAATGCTTCTCTCGGTCCTTCAGATTGCCATTCTTTGCCAGTTGCCTCAGTGAGTTGGACATGAAATGCCGTTTCTTCTTACAACAGCCTACTGCCTGGCATCCCGCTCTGCTAATGGAAACATGTGTCGCAGGCTACGACGCAAATCTTCATTGACAGAAATGTTGAAATGTAATATTTATTTGACATATTTTTACAGCATTGGAAAATGTTAAGAATGTTTGTCCTCTGACAGAAACCATATTCAAACAAAAAATATAATTTCACTGCCCTATGGAGATCGAACTAGTGTAACACACCAATGTCTGATATCAGGGATTTGGAATAAATGCTCAAATGGCTTGCCATACTGCCCCATCTTTTTCCAGTTTCAAACATTTTAAAAAGCTCCAGGGACCCACTAGGCAGCGCTAAAGAGCCGCATTCGGGCCCCGGAGCGGCCTGTTGCCGACCCCTGATCTAACGTTACTCTTTTGGGGAGGAAGCTGAGGAATACAGTACAACCACACACAAGCAAAGCGGCAACCTTTAAACTCATCACGGAAAGGCATGTCGAGCCGAGAATCAAAGCCGTAACCTCTCGACTGGGGGGGAAGATGTGCTAACCAACGGGCCACCCTGCTCCCCACTACTGATATTGAATAATAATTCATAACTAATTGATAATAAATATAAAGATAATAAAGAAGCAAGGTAGCGTATTGTAATAGTAACTGATATCCAATTTCTTAACATATCCTCATATCGTACTACTCCCAACGTTCACGTTGGCCATGCAAGACAAACTATCAATGTGAGCAAGATAAATTGTGTTTTAAAAAAATGATACCATTTGCAAATGCAAATTAAAATGAGTAATGCAAGTATGCGGTATGCATTCTAGTCGGATATATATACCTACATGTGTATTTGTTTACCTGCAGATAACTGTTTTCGTGGTCCAAGTGGACTCTGCTCTTGTTTGCATGACTTTTATTTCCATTATTATTTTTAATCACAGCTCATGTCTACGTCATGTGATTATTACATAGGAAAAACAGTTCTATGCCAATAATTCTTTGAAGCAAACAGCTGTAGTTAAAAGAGTCCATCTGTTTTTCAGTATCGGTGGCACAGTGCCGATTGTCTACTCGTACTTCTCTGAGTTCCTCCAGATGGACAAGCGAGGAGAGCATCTTTCCTGGTTATGTATGTTTTGGATGATTGGTGGGATTTATGCCTCTTTCACTGCCTGGGGAATCATTCCCAGATATGGTAAGATCCTCATATATCTGTCTAATGTGATCAGAGCAACATGCGCAGTAAAACTTGCCATACAATCTTAAGTTTAATAATTTACATTTGCACTTGTATTTTGTGTAGGTTGGGGGTTCAGTATGGGCACAGAGTTCCAGTTCCACAGTTGGAGGTTATTTGTTTTGGTTGCAGCTCTTCCTGCCATCGCCTCTCTGGTCGGGCTAACATTCATGCCTGAGAGTCCCCGCTTCTTGCTTGAGGTGAGACTGCCCCCATGTTTGGGCTTAATGCCTACATTTGTATATTAGGATATAGATGTTGCGTTTTTTCAATGCAGCCATCTGCATGACTTAAAAATTCAACAAACAGCATTCATTACGCAACTTAGTAATAGGCATTAATAGTGTGTCAAATACAGTAACTTTAAATACAGAATGTGCATTGAATATGTCCAGACATCTTTTTGTTCTTGTATTGAGCGACAAACACGAAGCATCCAACTGTGGATGTAATGTGTGGAATTGGTGCTAAAATTGGGATCACTTTCCGAGCAGAATGCCAAGCACGATGAAGCATGGATGATTCTGAAGCGGGTCCACGACACCAACTGGAGAGCCAAAGGACAGCCGGAAAAAGTCTTCACTGTGAGTAAGAACTTTGGATTGGAGCCTTTCATAATTATCAATCGAGGTCTCTATATGGACAGTATTGCATATGCAAAATATACAAAAAGTCAACTCGACTTTTAGTTCAATCAACATTAAAGTTCCAACATTGCAAATTCATACTCAGTGCAGATTCTAAAATCGGTTTTCCATCTTCAATGCCATGTTTTTTCAGACCAATACCACTGTGGGTACAAATCTCTTGAGTTCTCACCGATACAAAGTAATCGATACCACATGTACTTTTGATGTCTACAATCTCGATGATCATTTTAAAACCCCCGTGCAATGCAGGTACACTTCATGTACACCTGACATGCGTTGTGTTGTAAAAACGAATGCATGCCACAGGTTCAAAACCCATGCATGGCATGCATTTGTTTTTGCAACACAACGCATGTCAGGTGTACATGAAGTGTACCTGCATTGCACAGGGGTTGTAAACAGAGACATTTTGTTGATATCGGAGCACAGCGATAACAAATAAACATGGGTCACATTCCCAAAACAGGTAGCAAAAATACTTAAATCGTGTCAATCGTGCGGTGGCCCTGGTGACGCAATATGTCATTGTGGAAGCTACACGTACGGACCCTAGCAGATGAATCCAAATTTAGCTGGAAGCTAACGACTAAACTGGACCTCCCCTCAGTGCGAGTTTAAATCCCTCCAACCATCCATTTTCAACACCACTTATTCTGAACAGGGTCGCGGGGAGTTGTTGGAGCTTATCCCAGCTGACTTCGAGCGGAAGGCAGACGACACCTCTAATTGGTGGCCAGTCATTCGCAGGGGACATTTAGAGACAAACAACTATTCTCACTCATAATCACACCTAGGGACAATTTAGAATGTCCAATTAATCTACAGTGCAGTTTTTGGAATGTGGGAGTACCCGGAGAAACCCCACGCAGGCACAGAGAGAACATGCAAACTCCACACAAGAAGGCCACGGCCTGAAATCGACCCCTGCACATCCGCAATCTCAGGTGGACAAGAGAGAGAGAGAGAGAGAGAGAGAGAGAGAGAGAGAGAGAGAGAGAGACACACAGAGAGAGGGAGGGAGGAAGGGAGGGACGGACAGATGGATGGATAGTCTGGCAACCAGTTTAGGGTGTACCTGCCTGCTGCTCAAAGATGGCTGGGATAGGCTCCGGCATGCCCACGACCCTCATGAGGATAAGCGTCTTGGATAATGGATGGATGAATCGTATTCAAAATATTACTTATTTCAATAAGTATGATCACATTCATAGTCACATTCAGCCAGTTTGAAGTTTTCAGATCATTTTAATGATGAAATGAACCCTTTTTGTTGGAAAAATTGCATCAGGCATTAATATTCTCAGGATAGCTTTGAATATTCTGACACATCTGGAGGGCAAAATTTAGAAGAGTTTTATTTTAAATGGATATCAGTGTAGCATTTACATAAAATTAGCCTCAGGGTTGTGTTAAAGAAGTGAAGAAACAAGACCAAGAAGATATGTTAAAGATTCAGCGTTGGTGATATCGTGAACACCATTAAAAATTTAGTTTCCTCTTTGAAAGTTGCTTTTAATTGAAGAAATTTTAAATTACACCATTTGAGATGTTGTAGAGTTTCATTGGTCGTGGGACAAAGATACAGTAAGATCAGTATGTCAGTTCTCCTTTTCATTCTTTAGGTGACACACATCAAGGCTCCAAAGACCGCAGAGGATGAGTTAATCGAGATTCAAAGTGCTACAGGAACAGCTGTACAACGCTGGGCTGTCCGTTCACTTACACTCTGTAAACTGGTAAGTACAGATTCCATTGTGTGTGTGTGTGTGTGTGTGTGTGTGTGTGTGTGTGTGTGTAATGAGGAGAAGGTGGGATACAAAATAGAAGGATTTATGAATAAAAGGCATTTTATATGGGCCAACATTATGACTTTCTGAGGAAGTGTGTGCAAATGTGTGCGTGTGTGTGTGTGTTATATATATATATATATTAAATGTAATTAAGAGTACAGATTCCAATTCTTGCATTGCTGCTCTGGTGTAATGTTAATCCCAAACAGGCTGTAGTCCTAATTCACTAGCAGCTATAGTTTCCAAAATTAAATTGAAAAAGTAACAATGTTACTCGACAACAGGGGTGTCAAATTCATTTTTTGTCGTGGGCCACTTTGGAGTTACATCTTCACTCGGAGGGCCGTTAAGACAAACCGAATAAATGTTTAATCATCACATCGTATTATTACTTGTCCACAAAAAAAAATGATGGATCACTAGTGTTGAAATCAGTCAAGTATTTGTTCAATTATTGCTCAAGTGCGTATAAACGGGGTAACAAAATTATTGCAAAATGTAACTGTTTTTTATTACGTATGACAATTTGAGATTTCAGTCCAGATTTAAGCAAGGATCATGGAAGTTGACACAGATGATTTGCTTTCGCGGGCCACATAAAATGATGTGTCGGGCCAGATCTGGTCCCTGGGCCTTGACTTTGACACATATGCTCGACAGATTATTTGACATTAAAAAGAAACAAGTTACGTTTATGATGATTTGGTTTGAAAGTTAGTAAAATTACAAGTTACATGATTAATTTAATTCAACAGCTGCAAATGCCACCTCAATATAAAAATGACAACCGGTTTTCCTAATAGTTTTTTCTTGGAAATTAATAATAGCATATGAACCCTTTCTTGCACCACTAATGATAACCTTTAACCTGATAACATGATAGGCTGTCCCTGAAAGGGTTACTAGCGTGATTGAATATAGAAAGAATTTTGATAAATGAATGAATTGGGCAACAAGTGCAGTGAACCTGACTCCTGCACAAAAACTAGCATTTGGCATCTACGAAAATGGAGCCCTATGGTGGACTCGTGTCAGAGTTTCTTACCCGGACAAAGTTAAACAAATGACTCGACACACAGGGAAGATTGTCTCTCTTCGGCGGAAGTGGATCTCTGAGAGCGAACGACGGGGAGTTGCTCCGTGATCGCACTCAGAGTCCCCTGTCCTCCTGTCTGACTTTTATTGTTAACATTTGCAAAATACAAGAAAAACACTGCCCTCGAGATTTGTATACCACGCCCCAGGTCCGGCCCCTCGGTAGTGATCTGATACGCTAACACCTCGCAGTCCGGTCTACCCGAACACATAAGTCACAGACTTTGCTGATGACAAATGTCCGCCTGGGCGCGACAGCTGTTCCCAAACCGTCTTTTGATATTCAACAACACTTTGTTCCTAATTTGTTTATTCTCACTCTGTCATTGAGTCTAGCCTTCTTCCATCTGTTCGCCTCCCTTGCTTTTGACGTGATTACTCAAAAAGCCCTCCGCCCAAACAGCCAACACCTCTGCGCTGAATACGCACCCAAACGTCAAGACATGCCCAAATTAAATCGAAATTGAAACTTTAAACATGATACCATTTTGCTCATAGATTTCTCTATCAACTAGTGATAAGTGATCACTTATCTCTAACCCTGTTATCTGGGATAGATTGCAGCTTCCCCTATAACTCTGAACAGAATATTCAGTACACTGTATGAAATAGGGTGGACGGATTAAACCAATTAGAAAGGTTAATTCGATGTAGATTTTCTGTAATATGGATTTGTGTTTGGTCCCAGGTACTAAAGAATGTAGCATCTCTCTTTTCTGCCGAGCTGAAATTTGCTACTCTCTTCATGGCCATCATCTGGTTCTGCATGGCTTTCAGGTTTGCCCACAGTCTCACCCACTGGATATAAAACTTTCCGGTCATTGCATTTTAAACATTTGCTTTTTTTTTTCCCCTTTGGTCACACTGCTTTGTTTCAGCTATTATGGCCTATCTGTGTGGTTTCCAGACATGATCAAGCACCTTCAATATGAGGAGTATGAGTCGAGAGTCAAGGTAAAGCATTGCATTGCATTCATTGATCTGTTCGTTGTATCTCTTCTGTGGGACCCCTCGCAAACCAGATGTTGCATCTCTTGGGGTTTATCCCACATAAAGAATTTTCAACATCTAAACATTATTACGATTGCTTTTATCAAACCAAACTTTTTAGTGTATGGCGGCATGTACTGTACAGTATATTCTATTGCATCTCTTTAGCACTTGATTTGTACAAATCCCCCATCCCATCTGTGAAATGTTAATATTGTCCTGATGATTTTTCAACTTGTAATACTTCACCCTGACACAGTCCCATCGTATCGATTGGATTTAATTCGACCATTTCAAGCATATTTGCATCTGACTGAAGTTGTTGCTGTCTTCAGGTATTCCATAAAGAGAAAGTGGAGAACTTTCATTTCAACTTTTCTTTAGAGAACCAGGTCCATAAAGAAGGGGAATATATCCATGACAAGTAAGTGCCACTTTCCCATTCTCTTCAGTTACCGGTACTTAATTGACATTTAAATAAAATCAGGAGGTTACTGGACTGATATCAAAATGTTGTTGTACAGTTTTAATACTTCACCTTCTCTACTTAGTCCTTTCTCAGTGAAGTTATTATAAATCATCTCGATGGGAAGCGTACAGCTTCTGTATTGTGAATATGGTCGGGATTCCATGCATTGCGATTTCAAAAGCATCATGAGCACCTTCTGCCAAGTACACAAGAGTGAATGCAGATTATCATTCATTTCACTTGTTGTTACCACAAAGGTCATGCTTTGCTCTATGTGACACATTCGCTATTCGTTAGTGATCAATCATTTTGCTCTTGCATGTACTCTTGTCCAAATGCTTAAATTTGGGAGATTATAAACCTCAGGAGGTTGACGGCTAAGCATCATTTAATTGCTGGATACTGATCGATAAAATGCGGGTAAATGCTACTGACTTAAAAAGCATCCACTGGGTCGAAAGATCTGCTCTGGTCAGTCTTGGTGTTTTAAATGAAGTGTTCAATTGAGGTGAAGGCAAAAAGTTACCAATAATGACTTTTTTGTCATAAAACTAAGTTGAAATTGAAATGTGAGGTTAGGCTAAGACCTGACGCGGTTCTAGTTTTTATGTTTTGTTACTGTGTTTTGATACAGAAAAAAATATCTACTTAATAACAGCTTTTTCTGGTAATTTTGAATCATTCCGTTCCTCTTGGTTTCAGCTTGCAAGGGCATGTCCATCCATCCATCCGTTTACTTCCGCTTATCCGGGGTTGGGTTGTTGGGGCAGAAGCTTCAACAGGGAAACCCGAACTTCCCTCTCCCCAGCCACTTTGTTCTGCTTTTCAAGGGGAATCCCAAGGTGTTCCCAGCCCAGCCAAGAAACAATGTCTCTCCAGCGTGTGCTGGTCGTCCCCGGGGCCTCCTCCCTGTGGGACATGCCAGCTGACTGGCTTTCTCTTCTGCACCACGACTGCTGCGGCTAATGTTTTGCCAGTTTAAAAATCTGGCCAATCGCGGCCTTTCACAATTGCCCATCCCACCTTCCTCCCTGCGATGTTTCCAGTCCATTGCATTTTGTCTCCGGTGGCCTGAAATGTGATTGACGCAGCCGCCGGAAACACAAATTAGCATGACAGAGAGTGACGGTGATCGACGATACTCTTCAGCGCGTTGTGTGCTGTTGTTCCTTTCCATTACAAAGTAAATGAGGGATGTGTGTAAAGCCTAAGCTGCTTGAAAGACAGTTTTGGCAGCCAATGAAAATATTTGTTCTCAACATGCCGTTCTGAAACGTTTTTATTGGTTGTTTGTCTAATCAGAAATGAATCCAGGAACAAATCGATTTTCATTCATTGGAAGCTACATCACCAAATGTGTGTCCTGCCGTTTGTTCACAGGCGAAACATTCTCATTTCTCCAAAGTGAAAAATTGGAATTTTGTAGCTGCTAATAGGCTTCAAATCATCTGTACATGACCACATGAAAGGACATAAAACAAAGTTTTCAGTATACAGTATGTGACTACTACTGCTGTATAATACTTGACTTCTATGCTATTGCAGAATTCAAACAAAACAAAAGGACAGAATGGGACTTCAATACAATAACAAGTTTTCCGCTGAAAACGGGATACGACCATGGAGCTCATCATGTGTGCATACATGTATGCACTGTATGGTGTCCATATTTATGCGTGCGGCAAAGCATGTTTGCATAGCAGTTGTGATTAACTGCTACAATTTGTATTACTGAGACCATTCTGCTCATTCTGCAATTCCCCCAGCAATAGAAGTCCGAGTCCATGTTTTCTTTGTCTATTGGCTTGTCTGTGTGTCCCATCCCATACTCATAGGTTCATCAAAATAGAACTGAAGTCTGTGAAGTTTGAGGACTCGTTGTTTGAAGACTGTCTCTTTGAGGACATCAAGTCCACTGACACGGTGTTTGAGAACTGCACCATACGCAACACTGTCTTCACAAATACAGGTAGGTTCGGGTGAAGCAGCTCATTGTTAGTGAGGCTCAGCAATTGGGCCGATATATTTTCTCAGTTTTATGGTTTGAGGCAGATGGGGAAAAAAAAAAATCACTTCATCGGGTCGACCACCTTCTTTGCAGCTCCATACGCGAGGTGTAGCAGAAATGATCGGAAATGGATTAGAAAAGAAATGTTTCAAACTTAACCTCCAAACTATGAGTTTCCATTTTCACTGTGTTTGTGACCACTAAAGAAATTCTGCGGTTTGATTCGTTTAGTGGGCGAGAAGAGCCGTGCTGGAGCAATCTCCCCACGTACTTAACCTGGCTCTGTGTTTTTACTTTTTTTTTTTTTTTTTTTTTTTTTTTAATTCCTGCCTCCCAAACTCAGGGGGTCATTAAGAGGACCCATTTTGAAAACAGCTGATCCAAAACCAAGATCCCAGAAACATCCTTCCAGGAGTGCATGAAAGCTTAGCACAGAATGCTTGGAAAGTGCATTCGACTCCAGAAGGTTTACTTTGATGGGGAAACTTCTAGTTTGTATTTTGGATTTGATTGAGCCACCTCTTTACTTTTCATTTTATCTCACCGTCGCAATACAGAGAGGGACAACAGCCTGTACCTCCCTTAACCATGATGTTCTTTGTCTCTGTAGATCTGAAGGAGAAGTTCATTGACTGTAAAATGGAAAACAACACCTTTGAGCACGACAAACATGGCTGCCACCTGGACACCGGTGAAGAGAATGATATCCTCATATATCTGGTCAGCTTCCTTGGCAGTCTGGCCGTGTTGCCTGGCAACATAATTTCCGCCCTCTTCATGGAGAAGATTGGCAGAGTCAAGATTATAGGTGATGTGTATTTTACTTTGCTGATTTCTCTGCTGGGATTGGCTGATTTAGATACCCGAAAGGCTCAGTGAGACTGGAGATTCGGCATCTGGAGACATGTTTCAATACATCATAAGCCCTTTTTGACCCATAAATCCATCAAGAGCTCCACAATTTTTTTTTACTCACCCTTAGCAGAGGTACCTATAGGTGCTTGAGATGAGTTCATAATAGTATTCCTCAATAACATTCATACTGAACTGATCCCAAGCTGCCTGCATACAAGTCAGGCGAGTGTACCATCAGTGACAATGTTGCTGTCAGGTCGATCACAAGCAATCAGAGCCTTAAGACAAACTTCTAAACAAAAGAGCGACTCGAAGTCAAGCAGAGTTGTCTTTCTTGAAAGGAGAGTTGCGCTAAGACGTGTCTCGCTTTACAATCTCGGAACAGCTCTGGAGCCGAGATGTGTAAACCGTGATAGTCTCGGGTCAGCTCTGAAGAAACTGTGCTGTCTCGTCGCTTTTATTCTCTTTAGGGAATTTACAGAGGGCTAGAGGCACATACACACAATGCATTCCTGAGTGGTTAGAGGGGTCATGCTGGAGGTCAGTATTTGTGATTGCAGATGTTGACGCATCACAGGCGAGACGTCCTGGGGCTGGTATCTTTGCTTCTTTAACAGACGCTGTTAACCTCACTTCAAAGCTGCGAACAGTAACCAGCTGGTCTTCTCATATCCAATTACTCTTACAGTTGCTTTATAATATATTTCTATTGTATAGTTACAGCATTTGCCTTTATGTTTGGTCACTCTGGCTTACTGTGTTTGTATGTTCGGAATTGCTAAATTAAAAAATCAAGTACATTACGGCGACTTTGACAAAGATCGTCCTTTGGTGGTCTCTCTGCCTACCGAAGACGTCACGTCAATATTTCATGGTTTGTATACATGCATTACATACATACAATCTTGCACTCGTCTGTGAAATTACCAACAAGAGGTCGAATCTGCCTTCGCGCAGAGATATGCTGTGAACCACGAAAATAGAGCCAACATTGTGGGTAGGACAGTCAAGCCTTTGAAGGAGGATTTTGCCATTTGAATTGGAATTATCGTCTCCTCAGGTGGCTCGATGCTGATCTCAGCAGGCTGTACCTTCTTCCTGTTTCTGAGCTTCAGTCAGTCTGCAATTATCGCTCTCCAGTGTCTCTTCTGTGGCGTCAGTGTGGCTGCATGGAATGGCATCGAGGTGGTGACAGTGGAGCTTTACCCTGCTTCTAAAAGGTACGTACCCGGTTTGGTCCCAACAGTCTGATTTGTTTTATTGATTCATTTTTAACCTGCCCTGTTCATTTTCATGGTCATGCAGATTTTTTTTAATGCAACACCAGTTTTGCTGAGCAACAAGGGGAGTGTGAAAAATTCCTTCCATGGTTGTTTGTGTTGCGATGTTAACTGAAAAAGCAGCCTGATAGAAAAGGGTTAGAGGCGACAGACAGCATGACAGAGAAGACATCGGGAGTGGGGATACAAACAGCAGAACAATAATTCATACATAGAATGGTATGACAAGTAATACTGTATTGGCCCAAATATAAGACGGTATTTTTTGCATTGAAATTAGACTTAAAAAGTGGGGGTCGTCTTATATTCGGGGTCTAGACATTATACCCATTCATGACGCTAGATGGCGCCAGATATCAATGAAGCGAATGCCGAACTTGACTCCCAGGCCAAAGTGAACCCCTGCCACGAAAAATAAAAATGAAAATAGCGGTAGCACAAAGAAGAAAAATAAAAAGTAGCGGTAAGAAGGAAAAGAGAAGAAAATAATAGAAGAGACAACAGAAAATGGAGAAACGTAGTGACAATCTGGACAAAAGTGCTTAACCGGCAGCTGAGGAGAAGTTATGATGTCATTTACATTTCAAAAACCAGAACCCATTCATTTACGAATGTGATTGCACTTTAGATTTGAATGAGGCAAAATAACATGCTTTTTCTCTCAAATATATTGTTATAATCATTTGTTTCAGATGTACTGTAATTATTTTCTGCATAAAAATTAATTTGGTGTTCAAAAAGTCTTTTTTAAAACTTGAGTCTTGAAAAAGAGGCGGTCGTCTTATAACCAAGGCCGTCTTATATTCGGGCCAATACGGTATTACGAGGGTCATTCAATAAATTAGGTGATTTTTTTGGTACAAGGACTTCTAATACAGAGAGACGCTTAAAAAATTTTTTTAAATCCACATAGTCTCCCGGCAGTGTTACACACTTTTCCCATCTGTGCACAAGCTTCCATAATCCCCCAGCATAAAAATCTTTGGATTGATGTCTCAGCCAGTCGCTCACAATACTTTTGACTTCATCATCACTTTCAAACTTCGTGCCTCTCATGAACAAAGCTTTTAAGGGACCAAACAGATGAAAGTCTGAAGGGGCAAAGTCTGGGCTGTAAGAGGGATGAGGAAGCAGTTCCCAGCCTAGCTTGTTGGTGGTCTGCACCATTTGGGCTGCTGTGTGAGGCCTTGCGTTGTCATGATGCAAGATGACTCCTTCTGACTGATGACCCCTGCGTTTGTTCTTTATGTCTTTCTTGACCTGCCTCAGCAGTTAACAATAGTTGGCACGAAATCCATTGTGGTGGTATTAAGAGCCAACAAGATTGTGTCCATTGTGTCCTAATATTTATGGGCTTGACTGCAATCGCAGCGCTCAGAGGATTCAAACTCTAAAATTATGCACAGCTTTTTTTTTCTTTGAATATTTCATTTGATTTTTTTTTCCTGCAAGGTGAAAAACAGAAAAATAATAATAACAATGAATCTCTCCAAAAAACCTTAGCATCAGCATCCAATCAGATAGATCTTGTGTCGTCATTAAAACTGTTTACCTCCACATCTGTGGAACTGATTTGATATGTGTTACATTCTTGTTGAACCGGGAATGCTCAATTTGTCAATCTGGCATCGCATTTTGACCACAGTAATTCGGGGTGGGGGTTACAATTTCTACTTTCTGCCAAAAATAGCGCATCAAGCTATTTTAAGCTTTGGGGGGAAAAAAATCAAATAAAATCTTCTTACATCTGTCTGTATCCCAGGGCAACAGCCTTTGGCGTCCTGAATGCTCTCTGTAAGCTGGCAGCGGTTCTTGGCAGCTCTATCTTCGCCAGTTTTGTGGGCATCACCAAAGCCATCCCCATCCTGCTGTCATTTGTTGCGCTGGTCTGCGGCGGCGTGGTGGCCCTCAAACTGCCTGACACGCGAGAGAAAATTCTCCAGTGAGGTCACTTGAGGTCCGGTCGTGCGAGCGTTTAAGACATGATGTTGATGTTGAAGTCTTGGCAGCACCAATTGACTTTTACTGCACTTTTTTCCCCCATTGCAAGGATGGAAGCAACTAACACTTTTCCAATACAAAATGCCATGTTCTAATGTTAATTTTTTTATGTTGACAATGTGTGTTTTGAGAGGCTGATCAGGCAGCGTGTGATGAGATACATTTAGTTTACACTCATTAAAATTGCAGGCAGGCACATTCAATAAGAAGACACCGGTCACATGATGTGCTCTGTGTTGAATATGTCATGTCAATTGACCTTACAAAGTGACTACAAAAGTTTGGAATTGTCTCCAGAAACAAAACAAGAGTCAATTGTGATTGTTTTGGAAAAATGACACTGCAGTTATGATGAGCTAACATCCAGCTTGTCTAAAGGCCATTTGTGTCCTTGTTAAATGTTTACCTGTGTCAGTTCTATAGACTGGTACATTTAAGGGAGAATAAACTGTGAAAATTAAATCAATAGGCCACATTTTTAAGTCTACTTAAATTAACGGCTAAATCGCACCTACGCCTTTGGCCAAAGATTTGCCAAACAACTCGTTTTTATAACTATCGTCGATTATGTATTATTATTATTCAGAGCTCCTTTACATTGTTGATGTTTATTTTCTTGCTGACACTATTAGAGAGGTGTTAATTTGTTAAATATTCATCCAAGTATTTCCTATTATCCCATTGATGGATTGAAGAAGTCAAGTCAGCTTTTATTGTCAAATATGCTTTATGTGTAACATACAGCACAGATAAAATGACTTTCCTCTCTCAACCACAGTGCAAACATATAGTGCATTGAAGACACAGATAAAATTTACGTAAAAATGTCATAAGACATAAATAAATAAAATAAATAAACAAATAGCAACAACAGACAACCAGGGCACTTGTGATTATTGCATATTCGTAGTGACTTGTTTGAAGTGCAATAATCGGATGTCAGATGCTGGGGGAGGGACACCGATTGTGGCAGGAGGCGGGGGGGGGCAGGAGGCAGGGGTAGACGGGGGAGGTGGGGTGCGGGCAGAACATGGAGGGAGTTTAGCCTCCTGACCGCCTGGTGGAATAAACTGTTCTTGAGCTTGGTGGATTTAGCAGAGAGACATCGCAGCCTCCTCCCCGACGGCAGCACGTCGAAGAGGCTGTGAGACGGTGGGTGGGGTCACCTGCGATCTAGGTGGCTTAGCGGGTCAGACGAGAGTTCTAAGTGGCCGCGAGTGGATGAAGAGAGACACCAATGATCTTCTCAGCCGCTCTCACAATGCGCTGCAGACTCTTTCGACAGGACACGGTGCAAGCGCCGTACCACACGGTGATGCAGCTGGTAAAGATGCTCTCAATGGTGCCTCTATAGAAAGTCTGCATCATGGGGGGCGGGACTCTTGCTCTCCTCAGTTTGCGGAGGAAGTACAGGCCGCGGTGGGCTTTTTTGGCCAGTGAGGTAGTATTTAGGCTCCAGGTCAGGTCTTCAGAGATGTGCACACCAAGGAACTTGGTACTGCTCACCCTCTCCACTGCGGCACCATCGATGGTCAGCAGAGCATGCTGGGTGTTCTGAAGTCCACAACAATCTCCTTCGTTTTTTCCACATTCGGGTGGACATTGTTGTTTTTGCACCACATGGCCAGCCTGCTCACCTCACTCCTGTCGATCGTCTCATCGTTGTTATTGATGAGACCCACCACAGTCGTGTCGTCTGCAAACTTAATGAAGAAGTTGGAGCAGGATAAGGGAGTGCAGTCGTGGGTCAGCAGAGTGAAGAGGAGGGGGCTCAGCACACATCCTTGGGGGGCCCCCGTGTTCATCATGATGGTGCTGGAGGTATTTCTGCCTACCCGAACTGCCTGTGGCCTCCCCGTCAAAAAGTCCAGCAGCCAGTTACACATGGAGGTGTTGAGCCCCAGGTGGTACAGTTTGTGGATGAGCTGCTGCAATATGATGGTGTTGAATGCTGAGCTGAAGTCGATGAACAGCATTCTGACGTGTGAGTCTTTGGTTAGACTACACTCTGGACTTGTAGTTAATCAATCACAGTGAATGTGAAGGGAAGTGTTCATTTTTGTGGCGGCAGCAAAGAAATGAATTGACCTAAAATCAAATGTACCCATTTACAGTTCAAACATTCGAATATTAAAGTGAATCTCTAATAGTGTCAGTGAAAAATACCTTACCTCTGTAAAGGCGAAACAACTACAGTCAAACCTCATTTTTCGAACGTCTATGTTATCGACCAAATCAGATTTCGACCAGAAAATTTGATATTTTTACGCCTCGGATTACAACCGAAAACCTGTTTTCGACCAAACTGAGCAAACCAGAATACGCTACTTGACTCCTCTCGCCTTCCTTAGTTCATTGTGAGCAGACGTGTTTGTTGTGATCTACGCAAATCTGTTTTTATGTTATTTATGCATAGCGTATTAGCCCTTAATCATGGGCTAATAAAATAGTTTCGGATTTCGAATAAATCGCTTTTCGAACAGCCTTCTGGAACAGATTATGGTCGAAAACTGAGGTATGATTTGTATTACAATTTGAGAACTCTAACATGTGCGGCTGTGTCTAATATATATAAAGTGTCCCACAACGGGCGCATGATTATTGCATTCCAAGCCGCTCCTACAACTGATGAGGTGAAACACACTAAATACACACATAGAAACACGTACACGTACAACATGTGTGGGTGATGGAGCTAAATGTTTTATTTTCCTTGTAAAATTTGATGTTGACGTGAACTTGTCGCAAGTGGTTCCGTGCTGCAATTGGTCGTCTAGGTGACTAACTGCATGTTTGTCTCATGTTGTACCTTGTTTGTATGCCGTGTGTACCTTCAAAAATGTCCTCACCTGCTTTGTGCTTCCTCTAAAGTCCAAATCATTCACTTCTCTGCGCATGACTCAAATCACTTACATTCGCTCAGCATTCTTCAAAGAGAAAGGGCAGATAATTTCAAGATTAGAGGAATAGTACAGAAGAGAAAAAATGATACCTTAGCAATCAAATCTAACTAAGAGAGGAATGAAGTTTTATCCTGACAATGATACTGTATCCTAACAGGAGCTTCAAGGATATCTGATGAAGAGTTGTCGTCTTGCGCCATCAGATATACTAGCTTGAACATAACAACATACACGAGCTGTCACCAAACCAAAACGTGCACACGGGGGATACAGCTATCAATGCCATTACATCGCTTTGCTTAAATTCAGTGAAGATAAGGTAATAGTGAGCATAACATATCGTAATAATACAAAATAAGTTCACCAAGTTCCACCCGCTACATGAGGTGTTGGTTACCAGCCACCTCTACATGTCGGCTTGGCCACCGCAGCATGCGGGACACAATCAACAACATATGACAGAACATCGCAGCAGCGAAATCCCCACTGTGTCAGAGGGGCTTCTCAGAACCGGAAAATATTAAAAAAACTCAGAGCAATACCTTACGTGCGCTATAATTGCTGTTGCTATCAAATGCAATTTTGGGACTAGTTATGTTGACTCTTGTTCGACTATTTTCTTTGGGGTTTCAGAAAAGTACCCAGAACGGTGTTACTACAAAATGTGTCCTCATGGAAGGGTTCCACATTGTAACCATACATGAAGCAAGCCAATCAAGTGCAAATTTTGTTTTGGTTGTGAGAATTTTTCTTTTACCTGACTGATTTTCATATTTTATACTATTGCGCATATTTTACTGCAGATTGTTTTACAAACTGTGAAGTATTCAATCATAATATTTTTGGCATTGTGGCAAAAAAGGGCAAATCAGCACATGCTGAGAGTATCTTGTTTTCATTGTTTTTTTATGTCATAACACCAATAACCAAATTGCTTCTGACAATGAAATAGTCACATACAGTATGTATGGCTTACCATATTTCTAATTTTCCCGTGTCATTAGTTGTGTCTGGTCCAAGTGAAAGCAAAGCCCACTGTTTGTTCCAAGTGCTTGTGATTGAAATTATTGTCTTGCATTTCATTGGTTGCTCATGGTTTGATTTGATTTCTATTTATTACGTGTGTGTTGGTGGCAATGACAAATCTGATCATTAAAGCAAAACTGTCGGTTCTCTTGCAGTCTTTGAACTAGATTTATTTATTCATTGACCGAAACAGACCAGCTTCAACACTATATATATATA